CTAGTCTGAGGGACTGTCTTTAGCGGAGGGACGTAACGGGGACTATTGGAACTCTGGTCCGCAGAGGGATCGGCAGGTAGTTCGTAGTCATCTTCCTCCACCATATCATAGCTAGTTGAGGTCATCGATCGGATCATGGAGCCCAAGCTCTTGACGCCCGAGTCTTCATTCGACTTGGCGGGTTGCAGGTATGAGCCCGCCCCAATGTGGTCGGCGTCCAACGGCAACTGCTGGAAGTGACCATTGTGCTGAGAGTCCGGCGATGGACTGCGGGAATGGTCCGAATCGGTCGCGTTGGAAGCCACCTCGTGGTCGGCCTGAGAAACGGCGTTGTAGGCCATCTTCAGCAAGATCTGAAGCAATAAAAGCGCGGCCAAGCGCCGTTCAGGGAAAGGAGCCTTGCCTGGGGGGGGGGGGGAGACCCGTTGAAAGAGTGAGGGTGAGGGGGTGGGAAGTCAATAATGGTCAGCCGGGAACAACGTTTACGTCGGTGCAAACCTAAGATAAGGAAAATGCGCCCGGCGGGAACGGGGTTGCGCCCCCCTGCTGTTGAACGACACGATCACGACCCTGGATTCAGGGTAAGAAAGAAGGGAGATGGAAGAGAAGAGAAGAGGAGAGGGAGACAAAGAACGGATGCTGCAAGGAACCGAAGGAAGAAAGCCATGGTGGATGGTTTTTGTTCTGGACTTTTTGCTGCTGCTCCTTCCTGCGACAAATTAAGTAATTCAATTTCAGGTATTGAGCAGGTAAGGGTAAGGAAGGAAGGTATGGGGGATTGTTTCCCCTCGTTTTCGACGGTCCCTAAAAGTTGCTAAATTTGGATGCCAGGGAAAAGAGGAAAAGAGCCTGGACCGGCCAGAAAGTGGCCCGCTTTGAGTCTGTCCGCCCTGTTTGCGGTGCTCCATCCATTGCAGAACTAACTCCATGAAGAGTTTAGTCTTCGCTCTTATGCAGAGTTCGGTTTTTAGCTACATACAAAGTAACCAGGTAGAGAACCAAAGATACTTTCAGGAAAGGATTTGCCAGCAAATCCGGGATCAGTTAGTAACAGCACTTATCTGTCGCAGCGTTGATTGATGCCGCTGAAGGTAACACCGCATTCAGATTGTACCTAAGCATAGTAACCAACTAACTAACTATAATAACTATAGTGTTAGACTGTAAGTATGTATGTGTACCCCATAGATACCGGCGGCTATCTCTCGATACAGCGGCACAACGGCTGTGAGCGAGGAGGCCAGGTGGCTTTGTGACAGAGAGAAGTCGACTTTTACGGTGAGCCTCCGTCCCTTTCCAGTCATCTTCGTGATGATCACCGACATTGTCTTTCATAGTATCCATCCCCATGAGGTATGATGGATGTGTTAAGTAGTATACTGCGTGACAACACGGTAATTTACCTGTTTCCCCCCCAAACAAGGGTCTGGCTTAGTCACCAGATAGACTTGCCTATCCGGGCAGTTGCTCACCTGGTCTGGCGGATTCGAGAGTCAAACATCGACTCATCCCTGTCGCCCCCTGGAACTTGGTACTCGATACATCAACTCCTGAAGTCTCATTTGGTCTCAGGTTGGATGCTTTTTGCGACCATACGAAAATATTGAAACTATCGGCGTCATGCCGATTCTGCGGAGAACAGAAGAACCCAACGACGTCATGTTCCCACCAACAGTAGACTAACTAATTACCGAGACCAAGGCAGGAGACCACTAGCTTTGCAGCTGCTTCCAATCACTGGGGAAGTCGATGTTGGTTTATACCCTTGCCTTTATACAGTGGTTATACCAGCGCAAAGGCCTCCTCTTAAGTCTTTTAGGTTTAATATCTCAAATGCACTTTCCGTCATAGTGCTTACATTAACTGACTAGTGTATCCAACAAACATGTTTCTACATACTTTTCGTCCTTTGTGCATATCACTCCTGCAAAACAGCCTTGAACCCCTCCAGCAAATCATTCTTCAAATCTACCCAATTCTCCAATCCGATACTCAGCCGCAGCAACTTCCTGTCCACCCGGGAGTCCGATAACGCACGCCATTCGATCAAAGACTCAACACCGCCCAGACTCGTGGCGTGCTGAAAGAAAGCCAACTTGCTAGGTAGTCGTTGCGCGAATTTTTCATTCTGGAGGACAATTGAAAAGACAGGGCCGAATCCATTAGGCATCTGCTCTTTGATCCAGGGCTCCTCCTGCAGGCTGGTATGGTATATTTTCTTTACGACAGACTGGACTATCTGTTCTTCACTTCCAGCAGCAGTAGAAGGGGCAGTCAAAGCCTTATTGAGCCAGCCAACTAGACTCCCGCAGCCCTGACTCGCTCGTTGGACACGAACCTCGAGGGTGCGTAGACTGCGGAGCCCAAGCCATGCCTCCATATTGCCAATGACATTGCCCAATGCGACTCTATCTTCCAGTAGCTGCTTCTCCCAGTCTCTGCGCTGAGTAGCGAGTACACCACATAGAAGGTCACTATGGCCGCCAAGATACTTAGATCCCGAATGAAGAACGAGATCAGCGCCCCACCGGAAGGGGTCCTGAAGACCAGGAGGGCCAAAGGTGCTATCAACCACCAAATAAGCACCTCTGGAATGGGCCTTCTTAGCGAACTCATCAATACTGAACGAAGTTCCTAGCGGATTGACGGGGGTTTCGAGGAGGATGACATCGCCTTTGTCAAGCTCATCAGCCGGGCAATCGAGTGGTAGCTTCTGCAGCCCGGACAATCTGGAGATAACAGAGATGACCTCATGACTGCCGTGATAGCCTTCACCGACCGAGATGCGACGGGGGTTCAAGAGGACGAGGGCGGCCTGGAGGGCAGCGAGACCGGTCGAGTAGCTCACAACCCGGCCGTTGAGAAGTGATGAAACGACAGCTTCGAATCGAGTTGCGTTGGGGGCGAACTCTCTGGAGTAAATGTAGTTTTTGCCGTCGAACTCTTCCTGATAAGACTGTTAGTTGTGGGGGTCATCATTACATTTGGGAATGCGCATTGGCCGATTGGCAAACATACCACAGGGTCAACGGACGGGATCAAATCATCTGGGTTGTCGGGAAATCTGAAAGTTGTAGACAGATGAATTGGGGGTGCGACGTCTGTCACCCGGTTAAGGTGGTCGTCTGCATGTAGTGCTCGAGTCGAGGGATGGTGAAGGTTAGAGGGAGTCATTGCTCGAGTCGCCTGCTGAATATATTTTTGGAATGTCAAGTCTGACAGTAATTTAAACTGAAGATATATTCAACAAAAATCACTCGAAGACGTGAAATGACTCCCTCATATACACACAGAGTGAGTCGATTGCCTTCAGGTTCTTCTCTATAGTACTTCATCTTTCTCTGGCGGAGACCCCGCCCCACTCCCTTCAAGTTCCTAAACGGGCAAAGATTTGGAGAGGAAAATCTCTTTCATTGGTTCGGGAGAGGTGGCCCCGCCACCATCCCGAACTGGCCTGAGTTGCACTGTCACAGACATTTTCCAGATACATTCTAGAATCTAATGCTTGAGATTTTGGCTTTGAAACGACTTGCACGTGTGGGAACGGACATCGAAGTCTGACGGCAAGGCTTCTTGATCCATCACTTGGTGGCTACTGACCACGTGCCGCAATGCTCAGGCACGTACTGGTATCCACCAGATTGCTCATCGACTCCAGTATTCCGAGGAGATAGTAATGATGTTTTCCGCAGAAGCCAAGAGGGGTCTACACCTATCTAGTAGTACAGCTCTATAGTGGTTTAACCCACCAGTTGTGCTACTTACTTAATAGAAATAGCACTAAATGAATTACTCGGCGATCCTGCCCAATCAGCACACTGTCCGATGCGATGACACAGACAAAAGTATGACTCGTCGGCCGATAGACTCGTGAACTACTTACAGTAGATAACAATATAAAAACGCTTATCCTCTCTACTTCACTTGAAGTCTTTCCAAAATACACCCATACTTAAACTCATCAAACAGGATCGCATTTCACGCCCACAATGTATCTCCGCGCCATCCACGCCGAATCCCACATCCCAGCCCTCCACCAACTCATCCGTCAAAACCCCCTCGGCATCCTCACCACAGCAATCAAATCCCCTCTCTACCCTCTCCTCCAATCAAGCCACATCCCATTCATCCTCGACCTCCCCCAAACAGAAGACTCAGCAGACGGCACAATCCCCAATGGCACCCTCCGCGGCCACATGGCCAAGCAAAACCCCCAAGCCAAGGCCCTAATGGAAGCACTAAAAGCGCAGCAACAACAACAACCAGGCAACAATCCCAACTCTCTCGAACTGGAAGACGAAGTCCTCGTCCTCTTCACCTCCGAACACCACCACTACGTCACACCCAAGTTCTACACGGAGACGAAACCCGCCACAGGGAAGGTCGTCCCGACGTGGAACTATGCCGCTGCGCAAGCTTACGGCAAGATCCGGGTTTACTGTGATTCGAAATCCGAGGAGACGGGAGCGTTCTTACAGAAAGCCGTGGAAGGTTTGACTAAACAAAGTGAGGGGTCTATTATGGGGTATACGGGCACGGAGGGGCGGCCGGGGCCGTGGAAGGTGTCGGATGCGCCGGTGTCGTATGTGGAGATTTTGAAGAAGAATATTATTGGCATTGAGATTAGGATTGAGCGGTTGCAGGGGAAGTTCAAGATGAGTCAGGAGATGGGGAAGGGGGATCGTGAGGGAGTGGTTAGTGGGTTTGAGGCGTTGGAGACGGATGTTGGGAAGGGCGTTGCGCAGATGGTGAGGGAGAGGGGGGAGATGAAGGATGCGCAGAAGTAGGAGTATAGATTGTGTGTACGAATTAGTGGGCAGAGATTAGATAGTATCTGATATGTGGGGCGCCATGCATATAGTGCTGAAGATTAGCACTGTCTTAGTCAAAATTACTATATAACCGCAGCAGTTGTCTAGCACATTTAAGATGGTGGAAGTTATAATGCGATCATATAATAACCTCGTGTTCTAGATGTCATGATTGAAACAGACTGCATCTTATTTCACTCTGCTGATTTCAATCTCGTCCTGATGCATATAATTAATTAGCGCATACATTCACGCAATAACGACAGGGAGACACCTACAACTATATCTTCTGGGAAAAGAAGACATTTCATCCCCCAGCTCTCATACTTCGAGCTCCCACGGACAAACTCCCGGTAAGCCGGCGCACCAGGATGCACCACATTATCCGCGAGTACCAAAGAGCCGGGGCGAAGGAAGCCAAGCCGTTCCGACAGCTCCAGATCAGGTACATAAAGATCCTTGATATGATCAATGAACATGAGATCAACACTAGGTAGCTTCCCTTCCGCACTTAGGCGCTTGAGCGAGTCATCCGCCGGACCGACAACCACTTTGACGATATCGCTGAGGCCCGCCAATTCGATAAAGTTCATGGCGATAGATGCAATGAGGGGATCAGCTTCCAGACTCCACAAGCGGAGGCCTGTCGAGGATCCACCAGCGGCTTGCCGCATGGCGTCTGCGAACATGATTGCGGAGTAGCCGACATAGGTGCCGAGCTCAACAACAACCTTTGGCTTTTCATCTGCGAAGAGCGTCGAAAGCTTCTTGGCTTTGTCTGGGCCAAGGCTGATAAAGAAGGCTTGCTTTGCAGCGAACTCGTCGATGAGAGCGAGCAGGGCGGACGGATTGCCGCGGATTTGGGGCAAGGAGGGGTGAGAGTAGATGTACTTTAGCAGGGAAACTTCCAGAGTATCGTGAGACTCGGACTTGCAGAGAGAGACTGGTTTCTCGTCAACTGGTGCCATTGTGTTGGATTAGTATGTGTCTTGGCGAGATATTTAGCCTACTGTGCTAGTATGGGTGTAGAAGGGAGAGAAGGGTGATGAACCGACACCGGGCTAGAACAACGGAGGGGCTTACGCAGAACTATATAGTCGGTCACATCTTGCTTATCGCGCATAGAGCGACATGAAAAATGTAGAATGCAAGGTAGGAATGAAAAGAGTGTCTGTCATGCCGTAAATTTTGGTTGACCGGTCAGTTCAGGGGCGCGGATCGTGCTTTGATTGGGTGGCGGAAATAGTTTGGCGGCCAGACCTTGAATCTCCCCCACAGAGTTACTCCCGGCCTCGCTGCATCTTCCTCCATCTTTCATCCCCGCTCTGTCCTATCAGACACCATCAACGAACTTTATTGTCTACAGACTCTACATGTCTCAGACTTTATGTTCATTGCAGATCACGGCCTTTCTGTGCGTTGGGCATCAAAATTGCTGGATTGGCTTTCGATGAGGAGTCTCGCCACGCAGTAAAGACAGCGTCGCTACGCAGCTTACTATAGACTGTACGTCCAACGAGAATGGATGAGCCGTGCTACACATGTCGACGCCGGCGCATTCGCTGCGACCAGACTCAATCTCCTTGCGTGAAGTGCGCGACAAGTGGCTATCAATGCTTTGCTTCTAGACCTCTGAGATGGGTTGAAGGCCTAGCGATACGGGGGAAGCTGCGGGGCGTATCACTGGCAACTAAATCAGCTAGTCCAGCTAAAAAAGCAAAATCCCGAATAGAGTCAGACTCGAGTGATGACAGTCTTGCATCGGCGAGTGAGTCTGCTCTTTCCGTTGTGCGGTCTCCCGAAAGTCAAGGTAAGTATAGCTGCTGCATACAATATTGAGTATTCAATAAATCGCTCATATCGTATTAGTCACCCCATTGGAACCTGTAATTACTATACCACCGACTATAGGCGATTTTGCCATATCTAACCTGGACGCAGTTTCCAGGTACTACTTAGATTATTGTGAGTCAGCTCGTTGCGCTGTGCACGGTCCTGTCTAACGCTGCATCAGATAATGAAAGCATATGTGGGCTCTTCATCGTTTACGACAGCGATAGGAATCCTCTTAGGGCCCTGATGTCACTTGCGCTGCTTGATAACACTCTCCTCAAGCCCGTACTGGCTCTTGCAGCGCGACACAGGGTAAATCGACATTGCTCGTTCCGTGATCTCACCGTCAATGCATCATCCGATCAAATGATTGCAAACTCTGACGCGCTTCGCTTCAAATATCAAGCCATACAAGGGATTGCACAGGCCCTGGGTGATGCGAAATCACGGAACAGGGATGAGACAGTGGCAAGCATATTCCTCCTAGTATTTCTCGATCTTCTGGAGTCTGGAAGTGATCGATGGAATGTCCACCTAGAAGGTGCCAAAAGATTGTTGGAACCCAGTACACCTGATTCGCAGGTTGTTTCCAGACACGATTCCGGACAAACGATAGAGGATCTGCGTAATTTTCTTGCTAGTCAGATTTACTCGTAAGCAAGGAGCACTCTGGGTGTTGAATTCTGTGACTGACGATCATCTTACTTTAGCATCGAAACCTTGGGTGGAACCTTTGTACGCCCAAAGTTATTGTCACAGTATGATTTGCTTGGGGGCCCACAATTTCAAGAGACCGTCGAGCAGTCATTCCTTGGATGTCCAGAATACCTACTGGACGCTATACGGTATCTCTCTGCGCGAAGAGACACAATTGCCAGCTCCGAATGCCATGATGACTCCACCTGGAGCTACTTCATTGAGGATACTATATCGATGGTAAACTTCATCCAGCAATTCGACTGTACCGTATGGGCTTCGTCGCTACCATATCTGGGCACCACCCCTCCAAGAGATACAAGCTCTCTTTGCACATTGGCGCAATCATACAAGATAGGAGCTCTAATATATGGAAAACGCGTCCTTGGCGCTCTCACTAAGGAGTGTTTACCACTGGAGGACCTGCTCCAGGAGTTGCTTGCCACGATTGAAAGCCTGCAGAACGATGAGTCCTTGTACAAATGCATCCTCTGGCCCATAATAATTGCTGGTCTTGAATGCCGACGACAGGAGCAAAGAGACTCTGTGCGGACTTATATGGAAAGTTTCTGGGAGCAGACCAAGTGCGTGAATGTGATTAATGCTTCCAAGATTATAGAAGACCGCTGGCAGCGATGCGACGGTGCAGAACCTTCACACTGGATATTCTCAATTGGTCACTTGGGCCGTGACTGGCTTTTGATTTGAGCGTTGGCTCGGACAGGCGCACAAAGACGGAGCTGACAGCACTGCAGTCATCAAGCTCTAAGACGGTGTTTTACTTGAGCGTATAAACCAATCTGTTGACCTATAATATGGCATTAGAATGTCCAATGATGGCTTTCGATTGTGGTGTTCAAGCAGACCTCACTCGTCCCATTGCTTTCTCAGGCCTTGGCTGAATGAAAAGTCCCTTCAAAAGACTGAGCAAAGCTTAGCCGTTTGTTCAGAACTGCATCGGAAAGCTTTTGCGCCACTGATCAGTTACCGGGCCAACATCTAACATACAAAGAGGGGATCAGATTTAAGTCGCTGATGACCCGCGGTACAGACCCCTGGCGCCCTTAGTCATGCTCCTGTTATCAACCCCTCCCCGGACTCTTATCCTATCTTACCCCTCACGAAGCGTCGATCGTCTAAAATGCCACCACCAGTTGACTCCGTACCAAGCAACATGATACCAACCATCTCAGAGCCCTGTCAGACTCCTTACACCAATTGCACTATCTAGCAACAAAATGCCCTCCCCTGAGACCTACGATGTAACCATCATCGGCGGCGGCCCCGTTGGCCTCCTCCTCGCCTACCAACTCACCCGCTTTGACCTTTCAGTCTGCCTTGTGGAAAAGCAAGACAAAAATACTCCGGAGGGCCGCTACGGCCGTGCCATTACACTGTTTCCGCGGACGTTGGAGCTCCTCGATCAATTGGACTTGGTCGATTCTATGCTTCAACAGGGGTTTGCTTGCAGAAGTAGTGTGACGTACAAAGATGGAGTGAGACAGCAAGTATATCTCTAACTTCGCTCAATACTACGATTAACCAACTGGGTAGGTTTCCAGGAAAAGTATGGACCTTCATGGAGAATATCCAGGACACCGTGTTTGATTTCGCCCTTGTACTGAGACAAATGTATACGGAGGATATATTGAGGGCGAGGTTGGATAGGAGAAAGGTGACTTATCATGGTCCTATGGAGTGTGTCGGCTTTGAAATCGGTCTGGACGATAGTGAGTATCCAGTGACGGTGCATTGCTCAGGATCTGGTGGTATGATAACAGCCAAAAGGTATGCCTTCTGCACGAAAGGCTACTCACAGAAGCATAATACTGACTGAGTACTAGTAAATACCTTGTTGGGGCAGATGGTGGCCATAGTCTTGTTCGCAGATATGCCAATATTCCTTTCGATGGTGATTCATCAGAAGATCAGTGGATTCGCATTGATGGTTTAGTTGAGACAAACATGCCCATCAATCGGGCTTATGGGTAAGCTAGATCTTAAATGAGTGATCTTGACACGATCTGATCTGCAAACAGGGCCATCGAAACAACAACACATGGAAATGTTCTCTGGGCCCCTCTTGACCACGGCGCTACCCGCATTGGCTACGCATACACACCCGAGATAGCAGCTAAATATCCAGAAGGGGTAACTGAAGAAGTTGCTGTGAACGAAGCAATTGCGTGCTTGTGGCCCTTCAGTTTAAAGTTCAAAGAGGTACACTGGTGGACATTGTAAGCAACCCACGCAGGCCACTAGACATCTGACTAATGAATCGTCAAGATACAAAATTGGCCAGCGCATGGCTCGAACTTTTGCAACACACAACAATCGTGTCTTCATTTGCGGTGATGCAGCCCATACCCACAGCAGCGGTGCCGCTCAAGGCCTGAACACTGGTATTCACGACGCCGTGAATCTTGCCTGGAAGCTGGCTTTGGAGGTGCGCGGGCTATCTCATCCGGAGGTCTTGGACACCTACACAACGGAGCGCCAGTCTGCAGTGCAGAGGTTACTCAACTACGACAAAGATATCTCTTTATTGATGACGCATAAATGGCCGGCTTGGTACGATGGGGACCCGAGCGCGGACCCGAACGTTCTCCTCGGAGAAATATTCAACAATGCTGCACCATTTAATACGGGGCTCGGTATATCGTACGAGGCCAACGTGATCAACCAACCCTGGGACTCAGCTACCGAGGCGGCTGTGGGGGTTCAACCAGGGACCCGGGCTCCGGATACAGAGTTGACCACGCCAGGGACATTCCAGTCTGTGCGGATGCACCAAGTTCTGCGGAACCGGTGCCAGTTTCATGCGATAGTTTTTACAGGCGGTGATATCAAGACATCGAAATTGGATTTAGATCCTCTTCGGGAGTACTTGGATAGCAACCCGGAGCTTGCAATGCATCCGGCCATTGCCTGGTTAACAGTGTGCGGCTCAGCCGGCTGCTCACCGTACGAGGTACTCGGGATGACAGGATTTGGCGATACCTACTTCGACGCGAGAGGGATAGCACACTACGCCTATAAACTGGATCCACGCAAAGGAATGCTAGTGGTGATCCGACCAGACGGGCTGATAGCATTCACATGTGCATTAGACGGAGAGACGATCTGGCAGCACTTTTCTAGGATACTGAAGAGCAAACCACAGAAGACTCGTTTGTGATATCAATATACCAGACTGTTCACACAGTACAAATAGACTGAATCAAACACACCCTCTCCTCAGATTTTCAAACCGACTCAGCGGATAATACAACGTATTCTCCGTTCCATCCAACCCACCCAACCTGCCCAACCTCTCCGCAGTCCCCCTAACCAAGCTCCTCTCATGCGAGACATGATGATCCCCACTCAACTCCCACCACATAGCCCCTCCCAAATGCCTGTTAGCAACATAATCCGTCTTCATAGCCGCCACCTCCGGCGTATCATAACTAACCATCTTCCTATTGACCGGATCATGACACCAACTAGCCATCAACCTCGGATCCACCACTTCCCTACTCCCCTTCAACGGCAAATCCTTGTAATCCCACACCCCATTCTCCCAACTCCCCTCCCCAACCCCCTGGAACCCACCCCCAGGC